TGTTGTACTATCAACTTGTTGGAAAATATTCTGTCAACTTTTATTATTTTCTTAACTTGTTCTGTTACTTTTACTTGTAGGTAATTTCATCAGGAATTCAGCCTCTACAAAACTTAATTGTATTGATCTATGTTGGTGAAGAAAAGAAAAAGGAATGGGCACAGCATTGGATTACTAGAGGTTTCCGAGCTGTGGAAAAACTTTTGTCTACATCTGCTGGAAAATATTGCGTTGGAGATGAAATTACATTAGCTGACTGCTGCTTGATACCACAAGTCTTTAATGCTCGCAGGTTGGTTGGCTTTAATGCACTATCTGTTAATAGTAGTAAATAATCTGTAGTTTTCAAATTACTGACGTGTCTGTATTTTATTTGTGCTGAGCCCCCAGTGGTATCAGAAGAATTAGTTTTTTTTTGTCATTAAAAGTGTAGTTTCATTGCATGTATATGAATAACATAAATCAGAAATATAAGCAGCATAAACTGTATAGTTGTGATTATGTACTTTTATAATTTATATACTGTTAAAAACATTTTCAGATCTCATTTATAAAAAAAATAGTATGATGTTGCTAAAAAATTGTATGTTCTAGATTTCATGTTGATTTGCGTCCTTTTCCAATAATATTGCGGATTGATCGTGAATTAGAGACACATCCAGCTTTTCGAGCAGCGCATCCTTCTAGCCAACCAGATTGCCCTCCAGAAGCAACAAAATAATTGCGTTGATGCCAATCATATAAAATAGGAATGAAGGCCATTCAAGTAAATAAAAACTTTACAATTATCTTTATTTTTATACATATGCTCTCATGCATTATGTATGCATATATATGCATTATTAGAGTTGGGGTCATTATATCCATAGCCCTATCATATCGTGTTAGAATATGACTCCACTTTACAGAGCGATCGCGATGCGTAGCTCTTTTAGAAACGATATGTGGTTAAAAGGTGTAAAGCTTGGTATAGGACTCATAGAAATGTCATCAAAATTTGTACTTATTATTAAAAGCTCTATAAAATATCTGATAATTTGATATGCATATATCCAATCATGATTTTTCGCCCATGAAATAGCATTTTTTTTTTAACTTTTTTCTCTGCATCTTCGAAACCACTGGATCTGCCAATTTAATATTTCAACCAATTGTTCATTCAGTCATTATAAGTGCAATGCTTTATGAATCCTTCAAATGGGGTGGGATTCAGAAACCTTTGAAAAGTAAAGATATCCAAAAGATATACTATAACTTATCCTATAGGAAGTTAAATAATACTATCTGATGCAATATTGAAATATCAAAAAATAAACCAAGATCAAAGGAAATACTTATATTAAATAATGAAATGTTTAATATTACTTTTTTTAATATCATTTATTTATAACAATCTGAATCAAATCGCATTCTATGAGTTAAAAAGCTAATATAAATAAACTATAATTGAAATGATAATATTACATACTTGAATTAACAATTTTAAAAAAATGAAACACATAAAATTTATATTTGTTTAAAACTTTGTATCCTGATACAAAGCAACCTCTTCTTTCGTTGTATTGGTAAAAAGCAAATATCTGTAAATGTTAACAAAATCAGAACCCTTTTAGTGGAGTCGATTGAGAGGTGTTATATTCTCGGATATATCTGACTCAGAAGTTACCCAACTCTAATTATATATATATATATATATATATATATATATATATATTTATATATATATATATATATACATATGTAAAATAAATGTAAAATCTAGCTTTCCTGTAGCCCATAGGATTGCAGTGAGTTCTTGTTTTATAAGTACCATTCCTAAATGATTTGATTTTTATATTATTTTTCTTTCTACTTCATGCATACACAATGTTTCATATTATTGTCCCGAATATTTCAGTTAATAGTTATTAATGTTTATATGACAACTTATAATCTCCAACAGAAAGACTTCAACTTTGTACTTAAAATTTAACAAAACTTATAAACTGTTTTTTTTTTCTAAGCAAATGCATTCTGGGAATATATTATTTGCAAGTTTATGCATTAATAATATTTTTTCTATCTAACTGAAGTTGACTTTTTTTTTTCTTTTAAACAACGAGATATCTTAATTGCGAAATATCTTAAGTTAGTATCCTATAATATTTAGCACAGCAAACGAATCATTTTAAACATTCCAAATAATGTAGGATTATTAAATATTATTTATATTTAGAGATTTTTGAAAATTTTAAAATACTTATAATTGTGGTACTGGTAGTATTTCTTTTAAAACTAGTTTCATATATACACCTATGAGATGCATACGTCATTTTTGATTACTATGTGTGTAAAGTGAAACTAATTAGCCTTTACTTTTTATTAAGGATTAGTCATGCAGAATTTATATTTTAAAGTATCATAATATATACAATAATATTTTATAATTACTTTGGTGACTGTGTTCAGCGAAGATTATATTAATTACTTCATTATACATTCATAATAAGATTGTATATATTATATAATATATAATATATATATATATATATATATATATTATATTGTATATATATATTTATTTATTTATTTACAAGTTTGTGTCTATATCCATATTTATATTAATATATTCAATTACTTTAAGGTTTTATATAAATATTTTTATTACTTTAATATAATTATTTTATATACATATAATGTGCATTTTTGTAAAATTCAATGAGAAGTAGATTTGTATAAGTAAGCATCAGAAAATAAAAATTGATACCTTTTGTGTAAAATGATTTTTTATAAATTTGCTAATTATAAGAAAAGACTCATTTATCTATGGGCTTTCATCAAATCTTTTAAATCGGCAGAACAAAAATATACTTCTTCTTCGGAAAGTAAATATTGAGAACGATTAAAGTTAGATACATTTGCATATTCAATTAATTCACAGATGAATATAGCATGAATTACATAATAGAAATTTGTTTACAATGTAACAAAACTTTACATTAACTTATCAACCTATTTAATATAGGTGTTGCAAGAAGCAACACAACAAAAAGCAGGTGTATTAGTAGTAAAAATCCAATAGGGCGCATGGCATTATTTTAAATTTTTTTAAAAAAAGATTAACATTTTTGAAAAAAAATTACTATGAAAAAATTCGATTTTTGAGAAACTATAAATTTTCAATAAAAATTTACCTTTTTTGAAAAAACTGTTTTCTTTATTTTGAAATATTTGGAAATTCTGAACTTTTTTCAAAGCAATCGTACTGCTTTAACTGCATAGAGACGAAATATCGAAGATCGTAAGCGTCGCGTCGCCGTCTAACAGATAAACATTGGTACGGAACCCATAGGAATGTAAACAAAATTTATACTTATTGTTGAAATCTCTATAAAAAAATATCTGATTATTTGATGTGCATATGTGCGGTCACTAATTTGTGACCGCCAAATGGCATTTTTTGATCTACTAAATCCTAAAAGAATCGGTTTTTCATTTCGTCAATGCAAATAATTTGTTTTTTGAATCATTAAAATCGGATGCTCCGTTTTATCAAAAACTGAATTACCATTTTTGGCATTTTTTGCTCCGTATCTTCAGAAAGGCTGGACATGGCGTTGCCAAAAACTAATCAGCACGTCTCCTTATCAATAGGAATCGAATGTTTTTTGAATCATTCAAATCGGTTGATCCGTGTTCTTGAAATCGTCGACGAAAAATTGTATTCGCACATACACACACACACATCTATCCAGGTATGCCAAAATGTTCAGAATCCTTTGAAACGTAAAGATGTATCCGAAACGTAATTATCTAAATGTTGTCCACTTAACTATCTATGATCTTGAAACATTTTTTTTTTAGTAAAATAATAAAATGTGATTTATTAAGCAACCATTGATTCATCCCCACCAATAATTTCCTGTCTTGCAGCTAAAACATTGTCGTAAAGTTGTCAGTTTGTGTCAGTTCATAGCATGCACATGTGTTCGCTCAAGAAGTTTTCGCGTTTGAGATATATAATATAATCCAACAAATATTTGACAGAAAGTACTAATGATGTGAATAGCGAAATCAATGGTAAGTTTTACTATGTTTCATTATACAGTATACTCATTTATTAAATATTTCGAAACATAATAATAAGTTAATGTATTATCTCCGTTTAATAACAGTTGTTTGAATAGTCGCCTTTTAGTTGTCTTATTTTTCTAGTTTTTAATCACCAATCGATGTTCTACTAATAAAACGAGTTTTAACTAGGAGAAAGTGGCATTTTGTCTAAAGGCAAGTTGCATGAACTTCACGATATGTGTAAATAATCGCCGTCATAAACATTAATTTCAAACTTTAATGAGTTTTCAAGTTATTTTTTAAAGCCATTAGCTATATATATATATATATATATATATATATATATATATATATATTTCATTAATGAAATCGTGAAAAACTTTAACAATTGATTACGAAAAAACGGCCCCGCCGATCTTTACGAGAAACTAATCAGCACGATTTCCAACTGATATTTTTCAATTTTTTAAAATCGGTTCAGGATTGCTGAATTTCTGTTTAATTTAATTATCTAACTAACCTTATGGAAAGGAAATAGAATAAAGAAAGAAAAATTATTAAGCTGTGAGTTTGATTGAAATTCATTTAGTGCTGTTTATATAAATGTTTTATTCACATTTTTGTGATTATAAACTTATTTTTAAAACACATGCTTATTTACATATAACATTGTTAACCATTTCATTATGATGTTTGTCATATAGCTCTTGTGTTATCATACTAAAAGTATGTCGGCACTGGTTCCTCTTCTAAGCGGAGAAAATTTTTCAATATAATAAATTTTCTCCACTAAATCTATAAATCAAATCAAAAGTACAGTTATACTTTAGAAATTAAATCTAATACTAAATATTAACTATTATTTGAAGAAGAAAAAAAAACAACTAACTAAACAGGTACCGAAATCAATGTTTTACCTATATGAATTTCTTTAAACATATAAAAATGTAATTCTTATTTAAACCATTTTTGGTCGATTTGATGAAGTTTTTCTTAGTATGATTTAATTCAATAATTATTGATAAAGTGCTCACCTGACAGCGTTTGAAACTAAACAATGAAATTCCATAGACCTGGATTTTGTTGAATCGGCGAACAGACATCAAAAGAACTTAACAAAAACAATACATTCAATAAAATAGAATTATTTTTATTAACTATTATATATATATATACAGTTTGATATCAAAATACTTAAAACTAATCAAAGCCTAATCTTTTTCAAAAAGACCTTTAAAACCATTGCTTTGCGCTTTTTATATGCTGTTTAGTAAAAATTTCTAAGACTCAACTCAAGTTACTTTTTAAAATTCTTAGCTATATATAAATTATCTATAAACTATTTTAACTATATATACATTTTTCGTAAAAAGAGCTTTCACATTAAAAAAAAAATTAAATCTACAATAACAAGCAATACTGATTTAATATTATATTAATAACAATCATTATTTTTAGAAATTTAAAATCAATGGAATGTATTAGATCAACAATTCATTTTTTGTTGCTAATTATTCCAATCTAAGAAGAAATTCATGAAATTACTTATAACTACTTCTCATTTAAATGTTGATTCTTTTATACTAAATTATTAAACATCTAATTCAGTCTTTGAGTAATAATCGGCATTAAAACAGGTAGTATTAAAACAGGTAATTATTAATCTTGAAAATATTGTCAGTATTATTACTCATTACATATTCTTATATTTAAGAAAAAACATATCACCTGCATTCACTAGTATCTGATTTGGTGTTATTAGGTACTGATATGCATATACTATCTGGAGTCTCCTCCTTAATATTCTTTGAACCAAAGTCCTCCTCTTCTTCTGCCATGTTTTTGCAGTTTTCTTTTGAGCACTTGCAGGCGCTACTACATTTCATGTTGTTTTTGCGACAACCACATAATCTGTTTTGGCATTTACCTTTACAGTTACATTGGATTTCACCATTACTGTTACGTTTAACACCTGCTGACACTCGCATATGCCTTGGCAGTGTCTGTATATGAGCAAAAAAAAAAATATATAATTGACCTAAAAGAAAATTTTTCAAAAAAAACTTATAAAGATGATTATATAATATCAAGTTGGCAACTAAAATAAGTGCGGAAGAAAATCAACATTTGTTTTATGAAACTAAATAACTTTATTCTGAAATGCATTGTCCGTTTTTATCACTGATTTTTGTCATCTTTCAAGCTACTTCAAGCAAGCATAATCCCACTTCCAAAAACTTCTGGTTATTATTAACAAAAAACTGAATCAAGAATAATCATTGAATTATTTAGCATTAAAGGAGTTTTGTAAAGATCAAAACAAAAAGTAATCAGGAAAGGCAAGGTCAGCATTATATGGTCTAGTAATTTTTGCCGAGTGACCAAAGATATGTGATGCCAATAATGGAATAAATCACCGTTTCGATTTGTCAATTTAGGTCACTTTTGTAATCAATTTTTCTTCAGAATTTATTGTTCAGCTGGAAGGTATGAGTAAAAGTAGATAATTATTTTCTTTGTAATCAACTAGTTGGACGACCGGAGGTTTGAGTGAAAAACCACCAAAACAAAATTTATCAAACCAATTTTTACACTGCCGTTTTTTTTGTCTGCTATCCAATAACAAAAGATTTTTTATATATCAACCACATTGCAAACCTTAAAAATCAATTGATACCATCGGAGAGAGAAAAACTACTGCCAACTAATTTGCTAATATATGAAAAAGTAATTGAAAATATTGATATTTATATATATCTTATGCTTTAATTTTAATTTAATTATATAAATAATATATTCTTAAGATCATTACTTTGCAATGCATTCTGAGCACACATAACAATTTTTGCTTTGTGACCCCAGAATATATTTACTAATCCAGTAGGCTCATAAATCTTAAGCATCATTTAACCCAAATATTATAGTAAAAAAAAATCACTCGTTTTTAAATAATCAAAAGTAAAAATTTTCACTGATTGATATGATTTCACTCACCTTCGATAACTGTACTCGCTTATATATAGGCGTTAGTCTAAAATCGGGATCATTTTCAGCGGAATCTGCATAAACCTCTTCATCACTTTCTGATAAATTCATTGGCTCGAAATCCAGCTTAAGATGATCTGGATCTTGTTTCATTTTCTTAGCCTTTTTCTCGGGTGTTCTACAATTCTTAATATCCTTTCTGTTTCCATATGTCCTTACTTCCTGCAACTGTTCCCTGAGCTCTTCTACTTCCTTTTTGTAGTTTTCCAACTCTGCTTGTACAGCATCCATGCGCTCCAGCTCTCGTTCTTGGAACTTTATTCGTTGCTCCAAATCATTCTCATCTTTCGTATTACTTGAACCATTAGATCTTAATTGACGAAGTAAGACTGAAATTTTGTACTCCCCTTCCCCTTCCAATTCAGCCAATTCATGTCTATGTTGCTCACGCAGCTTATCCATTTCCTGTTGACATTGAGCAACTTTCGCCACTACTTCTGTTAGCTGATCCTCCAGTTCAGTACTGCGCTCTAAGCAGATACAATGAAAATTATTTCAACTTTCCCATACTAAAGTTGTATTTTTTCACATATTTACATATTTTTGTTGCTATAAAAATATCAGATTAATATATTTGATTGTAAAAATACCTTTATGGGCATCAACTGAACGTCTTGATTCAGCAATCATATCAAATAAGTGTTTTAGAGCATATTTAGCTTCACCAAGAGATTGAACGATATCCCATCGCGACTTTGCTTTATTTTCTAAAATAATAGAAATAGTTAAAAAATGTGAATAAAACATTTTACCTTAAGGTAAATATCGAAGATTTAGATATTTAGGTGAAATGATCAATTATTATTTAAAAATAACATGTTTGCTCACTCAAAAATTATCAATACTATCTCCAATTAATGTCTTTCAAACATACTTATAATATCTGTAATTTAAATTAATTTGTTTAACTTCCTTCAATTCATCAAATTTGTGCTCTGAAAATGTAGTTTATTTGACTGAACGTCAACTGTAATCAGTAGTTACGTACTAAACATGGAATGTAATCTATGCTTCGGCATAGATTACCGTGCGGTGAATATCTAAGCTTCGATGGTTTTTTATAATTCAACTATCCATTGATATATGTTTATATCATTTCATCAAAATTGTAAAAATTTTGTTTCAACATTTATTTATGAGGAACAGAAAAACTAATCAACGCGTTTCCCAACCAATAACTTTCAAACAATTTTTAAGTTATTAAAATCGATTAAGGCCTACAACGTGGACGAAAGTTTTACAATCTAATCATAGAGAAACGGCTTGGACGATCGTCGCACAAAACTGAGTCCTTATCGAGCTACATCGAATGGCTTTTAAATTTTTGAAATCAGTCCAGCCCTTTTGAAAAAACACACAAATACTTTTTATTTGATTCAGAATCACTTAAAATGTAGAGAAAACAAAATTAATAAGTTGGAAATTTTGGAAAAAACATAAACTTCCCATTCAGGATGATAAAAATATGGAAATTGGTTTTTCAGTTGAACCCTATCTCTCAAGAATATTTACCCTGATCTGATGCTATTATTTTCTCTTGTAAATCAGCAATCTGTGCGGTTCTGAATGAAATATCATCTTGAAGCTGTTTTCTTTCCTTTTCGATTTCTTCATTAGGAGTTTGTTCATTCTCATTATTTGATAATGGTTTTGCTTTTATGATTTCTAATTTCTGCTGAAGTGAAGCACGATCTTCCATTAACTGCTCAAGTGTTTTTTGGGCGTCCACTGTGCTCAATGCTACATCCACTTCTTGTTCAACCCAAGCACGTACTTGGTCAGCCTGAAAAAACAATTAATTAATAAACTAATTCCATTCAATCTAAGATAATTGTTCAATGATTTTATTCATAAGCATTTGTTTTCATAAATAATTCATACCTTGCCTGGGCCAATCTGTAATCTTCTAGTTTGTGCATTTTTTTGTCTCTCTAATGCATCCTGCAACCATAAAACAAATATCAAAAATAAATGAAGTAATCATTTGCATGATTAAGGGGGTATTCTAGTGTACAAATTCAAAAAAATCGAATTTTTTATATCATATTTTCAAAGTTTAACTATCTAAGAATATGTGTACGAGAAGGTTTTTGAAAATTTGAATTATTTTCGGAGATATAGGCATTTTTCTGACGCGGTCTCCAAACTGGTTTGGCAGGGTCTACCGGACAAAAGGCATTAGGAAGTCGTTAGACCAATTTAAGACAGTTTATCAGATGAATTATTAATTCGATGTATAGGTTCAGAAACTCTGAACAATAATGAATCTCTAAACTCGTTGATTTGAATTTTCGCGTCAAAACATATTCATTCCCGCTTTCGGGTATTTGAAAAGCAACATTTATTGCTGTTTACATATTCAATGAAGGTTTCTTTCCAATTTTAAAAATGATGACCCCTGTGGTAAGGCAAATTGGTCCGGAAACTCATTCATTTGCTGTAAGACGAGACAATGCCCGGATTGAAGGATCTGAAATACATACATCTAACGCTTCAATGGAGGCTAGAACTGCTCGATTGGAAGAGAGAAATGCAGAAAATAGTTTTTTT